ATAATAATAATAATAATAATAATAATAATAATAATAATAATAATAATGGAAATACTAAATGCTCTGGTGGTCATTTTGAAAAATCCTTTCTTAGTGAGCACCTAGAAGCCAAGAGGAACATAGGTGCCAAATTTCAAGTTTGTAGGCTTTACGGTTCTGGAGATTTTGTGATTATGCATGAGTGGTATTTTGCTTTTATACACACACACACACACACACATATATATTGTAGAAAGTTAGCATCCACCGCTCTCCTAGAAAAATGAAATATCCTGGGAAATATTAAAAAGGCAGAATATTTCCCTTAAAAAGAGTAGAAACTCAGAAGCAGAAACTCAGCCCCCCGCCCACCTTTGCTAATGGGCCACTAAGGCCCAGGCCAGAGTATTCTACATAACAAAGGCCTCTACCCATCTCACCACCTGGGCTGGGAGGACTGTCTCAGCCAACACTCAGGTGAAGCCACGTGGTCCAGGCAAAGCCTACAAAGTTAGTTAAGACCCTCCCACCCCTGGGAATCTGACAGCCAATGGGATACATTTCTTGCACAGGAACAGGAAACACTAAGGCGGGGCCCAACGGAGGGTATATAAGGGTCTCTCAGCATCTTGGCCCTCCCTTTTTCTCTTTTCACCTTGAAGCATGTGATCATCCTTTTTTACTTTGGAGTTCCAAGCCATGCGGTCCTGTCCACCATTAAACCATGTTTCCAAACAGCCTCCAGGTTTCCAGTGTCTTTCCCCCCCACTTGGAACTGAACCCAGAAGGAGAATTCTTCCAACACTATCTCAAACAAGAATATTTCTGGCTTATAATCTGTATATGTACCTGTTCTTCGAGAGCCAGAAGATGGTGGCGCAGCCGTAGCCGGAAGCCACACTGAGATGCGAATGAGGCGCCGGGAGGGAAGAGAGGAAATTGGGGCCGCAGCGGCCATCTTGCCAGGTGATGAGGTGACTCACTTTGTCCGGCTGAAAAGCCCACCTGCCTCCACTTTCGGTCCATGTGCCGCCTGGAAGAGGCAGGGGAGAGCTCAGGTGGAGGAACACCAGGGACCAGGGTGATCACAATCCTGCTTTTCTATGGTGTCGGCCGTCCTTGACACACAAAAGCCCCTGTGTAGCACATTATTTAAACAGGCAAGCCCTCGATGGCAGGGTTCCAACGGACACCCTAATTAATTCATGAGCCTCGAGACAAGTTTCAAAAGAAATCCAATTATTTATTAGGAGCAACACGTCCGGCACTTTTCCCAAGTGCAGTCGGCTCTGTCCTACGTAATTGACTGCCCACCTATGACCCTGTTTTCTCCCCCTCCTCCCAGGGTGTGTCATAAATCACATTCTCCAACAGAGCACTTTTCCAGGACTGTAGAAAACACAGCCTCTCCGGCTGCCTCTAGTAACCTGGGATACAATCGGGAGAAAGGTACGCGTGGAATGTGCTTCTGGCCATAGCATCTGAACTGCTCCATCAGATCTCCCCCGCCCCCGCTCCTTCTTATGGCAAGTCGATATCAAGCCAGGAATGCTTTACGAGTTGACACTCGACTTACAACGATTCATTTAGTGAACGTTTGAAGTTAAAGCAGTGCTGAAAAAAGCGACTTAGGACCGTTTTTTCACAATTATGACCTTTGCACCATTCCCATGTCAGGGCTCCAACAAATCCACCCCCATTCAAATCACAAGTCCCTAGCCGCATCTCTCAAGAGTAAAAAAAATCAATTTATTAGTTGTGACCAAGTTGGCGTTAACTGGGTGCAGCCAACACTAAAATACATCATTAATTTTCCCCTTGACCCTGGTCTTCCGCCCACCCCCAGGACGTATATTCTCCAATGGGGCACATCCATAGCCAAGAGTCATCAATCATGCCCTCCAGTAATAAACTTGCCTGCCGACCGTTTTGGGCTGCCAAGGCGATTATCTAAGGCATCTGAGGAATGCACTGCTTTCCCCCCACTCCTTTTCTGCTGGCAACTACCCTGTTTCTCCAACAATACGGCCTCCCCCAATAGGAAGTCCCAGCATGTTTTATAAGCATGAAATGAAATTAAGCCCCTCCCCCCAAATTAAGGACTATATTAAAACATGTGAAATGGGGGGGAATGATGGGGGGGCTTGCCGTTAGGAAGTACTTTTGTTGCACACCCGGATATGGTGCTGCCTGCGTTGACCCCGATACGAAGTGCCCCACCAACGCCGAGGTCAACATCCAAGCTGTCGCTGCCCGCCTGCCCAAAGATGCAAGGGGGGGGGGGGAATTAAGTCACCCCCGAAAAGACAGCCTAGCCATTTTTTCAGGGCTCAAAAAAAAAAAAGACCCGGCCTTATTATATGAGAAACACGGTATATCTATATCTATCATCTATCTATCTATCATCTATCTATCTATCATCTATCTATCTATCTATCTATCTATCTATCATCTATCTATCTATTCACTACACTGAATTAAGTCACCCCCGAAAAGACGGCCTAGCCATTTTTTCAGGGCTCAAAAAATAAATAAAACCCGGCCTTATTATATGAGAAACACAGTAAAAAAAAACCAAAGGAGTATTTTTGAGTTGACACCCCATGGGTCAGGGGATGAAAATTCAGAGGCTTGGCAACTGGCATGGACTTAGGACGGTTGCTGCGTCCCGGGGGTCACATGATCCGCTTTTGAGACCTTCTGACAAGACAAGCCCATGGGGAAGCTAGATTCACTTAACAACCGAGTTCCTTAATGACCGTGTCCCTCTGTTCTCCAAAGCACCGGAAGGCAACACCAGAAGCAACAGATAGAAACTAATCAAGGAGACGAAATGCCCAGGAGAAATGTAGGGCTGGAAGACGCCTGAGGTTCCTTCCAACTCTAATATTCTATGTTCGACAACCTCCAATGCCTTGCACACCTCTTAACATCTGATGGCTGTTGAGAAAGTATGCAGCCGAGCTGGTTAACAGAGGGATTGAGAACATAAGATCTTCTTATGGGTGATGTCAGGGTTCCAATGGACGCCCTAATTAAACCATGAACCTAGAGCCAAGTTTCAAAAGAAGTCCAGTTATTTATTAGGAGCAACATGTCAGCACATACCCAAATCAAGTCAGCTCTGCCTCACGTAATTTACGGCATGTCAACTAAAAAGATACTCCTTTGGTCTTTTTAGCTGCCAGAGAAAGGGAGGGGGGAAAAACAGTGCATTCCTTAAGTGCCTGGATAATCGCCCTGGCAGCCCAAAGTTGTTGGAGCGCAAGAATATTACTGGAGAGCATGATTGATGACTCTTGGCTATGGATGTGTCCCATTGGAGAATACACATCCAGGGGGGCTGGGGGGAAGACCAGGATCAAGGGGGAAATGAATGATGTATTTGTCGGGCTCCGAGTTCGCTACGGAGCCTGTCAGCTCCGAACACACCTTGCAGCAAATCAGCTGGCAGTGGAGAATATCACCTTAGCTCTGCTGACGCCGGATCTGTATTGCTGTTTGTGTGCTAGCCGATGGTGCTGAAGGTTGCTTTAGAATGACTCAGCAGAGCTGTGAGCTGCAGGATGGATTCTGAAACAACTGCAGACTGAAGGATGGATTCTGAAGCAACTGCGGACTGAAGGATGGATTCTGAAGCAACTGCGGGCTGAAGGATGGATTCTGAA